ATCATTATCGTAATCTTTATTATAATTCTCAACATATTCTTTGGACAGTGTTTCAAATATTTGCTATAATTTATGATGAAATTAGATTAGTTTTGTTTAAAGTTAGGCTTACTTTATATGCCTATGAAAGATACCTTACACAGTGCCTGGGTGGCTCATTAAGTATCTGCCTTCCGCTCAGGTCATGATCCCTGGGTCCTGGGTCCTGGGATTGAGCCCTGCATCAGGCTCCCTGCTCAGCAGGAAGCCTGCTTCTCCCTTTCCCACTCCCCCTGCTTGTATTCTCTCTCTCACTGTGTCTCTCTCTGTCAAATAAATAAATAAAAATCTTAAAAAAAAAAAGAAAGATACCTTATAGACAGAAGTGTGTATGACTTGAACCTCTTCATAATAAAAATTGTAAAACAATAAGTATTAATAATATTTCAATCATGTGATAATTATTTAATAATAATAGTAGTAATAATAAGTAGTACCTTCTTTTTTTTTTCTAAAGACTTTATTTATTCATTTGAGATAGAGAGCATGAGCAGTGGGAGAGGCAGAGGAAGAAGGAGAAGCAGACTTCCTGCTGAGCCAGGAGCCCAATGTGGGATTCGATCCCAGGGCCCTGGTATCATAACCTGAGCTGAAGGCATATGCTTAACCAACTGAGCTACCCATGTTCCCCAAGAAGCACCTTCTTAAAAAGAGAGTATTACTATCTTTCCAGTGAGAACTGTGAAGCTTCTATGATTATCCACAAGCAAATCCTCTCTCACCCTCAGAGGTCCCTTCTTGCTCTTTATAGTTTTACCACATTTATTCCTAAAATATTTTGGCTTTCTACATTTTTGAAGTTTTTATAAAAGGGATTATAGTGTGTATGCTGTACATGTGTGTTCGTGTGGCATGCTTTTCTGTCTCAACATTATGTTTTTAAGAGTCATCCATGTGGATGTGTATTGTACCTACAGTGTGTTCTTCTTCAATGAAGTAGAGAACTCCATCATGTGACACACATACACACTGTTTATCTTCCTCCCATTTATGGTTGTTCGGGATAATTTCCAGGTTTTATTTAATTTGTTTTCCTTTTTGGTTTTTTGAAGCGACTGCTAGTAATATCTTCTATTGGGTTGAACTATGTGAAATAGGTATTTTTTTTAAAGATTTTATTTATTTATTTGACAGACAGAAATCACAAGTAGACAGAGAGGCAGACAGAGAGAGAGAGGAGGAAGCAGGCTTCCCGCTGAGCAGAGAGCCCGATGTGGGGCTCGATCCCAGGACCCTGAGATCATGACCTGAGCTGAAGGCAGAGGCTTTAACCCACTGAGCCACTCAGGCGCCCCTGGAATAGGTATTTTTTATAAATCAGAATGGTACAGACTTAGAAAGTTCATGTGATCCAACCAAATTCCTATCTCTTGCTGTATATTTGCATCATTATACCGGAAATGCCAGTTCATAGGGTAGGTGCCTCGTCAGCTTTGAAACTGATACTTCATCATGTCACAAAGCAATTGCACCAATTTGTACGTACTCCATGGAAGCTGCCATCATCCCATCTTCTGTCAACACTTGATAAAGACTTTTTATTTTGATGGGTGTGCAATGTGGTTTTGATTAGCAGTTCTGTAATTACCGATGAAGTTAAGCATCTTTCATATGTGTATTTGCCATTTGTATGTAAACATGTGCAAGCAGCTTTGGAAGCTGCTAATGGGCAGAGGCAGAAGCGTCCTGTGGCTCCTTCTAGAAAAAGCCAGTTTGCCTGTTGGTGGTGATGTGATTGGTGGTGAAGGTGGTTACGCTGAGGGATCAGGAAAAAGAGAGGAGGCTGGAGAGAGAGCTTCCATCATCTGAGAGAATACAGGTATCATTGTGAACAGAATGGGGGCAGAAATATGAATGTTAAAAGTGAGGTCTCAGGCAGAAATGGGGAACATGTTATTGGAAGTGGAGGAGTTGGATCCTTGGTCTAAGCGGCAGAGAACTTGACTGATTGTGTTCTAGTGTTTTGTGGAAGGTAGAATTTTTAGGTGATGAATTTGGGTATTTAGGTGAGGAGACATTCCAAGCCAAGTGTTGAAGTACAGCCTGTCTGCCCTTGCTGTTTATAGTAAAATGCAAGAGCAGAGAGTGAAATTAAATAAGGATTGTTAAGCAAAAGGAACTAGAACGTAAAGATCTGGAAAGTTCTCAGTCTACCCATATTGCAAAAAAATGAGGAAGTTTGTCTGGAGGAAAAATCAAGGGTGTGGCCGGACAGCCACTTGCTATAGTAGATTATGAATGTGACTCAGGGACCCAGTTAGCCATTTCAGCAGAAACCAGGAACAGAGCTTTGGTTACCCAGGAAAGAGTGGTAGAGGACCCTCTTGTTTGATGGCTTAACTTTCTGTGCATTGTGTGGGAAGTCAACAAAGTTTTTGAGAATTTATTATGAGCAGAAGCACTGACTATTTAGACTAGAGAGACAGGATGAAATGAAGGCAGCCTGATGGCCTTCTGAGATTCTACAGGATGGGCCAATAACAGGTGTTATCCTTCAAGAAGGGGTAAGAATGATCCTGAAGGCATTCTGAGGTCCCCAGGGCTGCCACTGTCTCCATGGCCTGGTGGGTGGGACTCTCTCTTCCTTAGTTACAGAGAGCCAAGCCCTGCACACAGGGCTCAGGGGGTGGGATAGCCACTCTGGTGGGCTCAGGAGGTAGGGCCACTCTGGGGGGTACAGAAGAAGAGAATTATTCTTGAGCCTTAAAATCTAAGGGAATTTCCTCTGTGCTCAGACTTGCTTGAGACCCAAGACTCCTTTCTTCTTTCTAGTTTCTCCCATCTAGAACGGGAATGTCAGTCCAATGCCTCTCCTACATATTGCACTTTGGAAGAAGATAACATGCTAAGTTTCACAGGTTCACAGCTGGAAAAAGAATTTTACCTCAGGATCAATCATTGTTCAAGTCTCACTTGTACCTAATTAGGTGATATTTAGAGGAGATAGATTTTGTACTCAGAGTTGATGCTGGAATGGGCTAAGACTTTTGTGGCTACTAGAATGGGCTGAATATATGTTACATGTGAGAAAAACATGAATTTGGGAGATCAAAATGTGAAAGCTTTTGGGCTGAGTTGTGTCACCCCAAAATTCCTATGTTGAGGTCCTAACTCCTTTACCTCAAATTGTGACCATTTTTGGAGATAAGATATTTAAATAGGCAGTTAGGTTAGAGTGAGATTATTAGGGTGGACTATAATCCAGTATGGATGATGCCCCTATAAGAAGAAATTTAGACATTGACATGTACAGAGGGAAGACTGTGTGAAGACACAGGGAGACAACAGCCATCTCCAAGGCAAGAACAGTGGCCTCAGAAGAACCCAAGTCTGCCAATCCTTGATCTCAGACTTCTAGCCTCCAGACCTGTGAGAAAATTAATTCTTGTGTTCAAGCCACCTGGTTTATAGTACTCTGTTATAGCAGCCTTGGCCAACTAATACACCTACCCATATGGCAATGCCATTCTGTCTTGATTAATGTAACTTTATAATAAAGACATTCCATAATGAGTACAGGTAAGGAGAGTAGATGTTCAAGCCTTGTTCCTGATCTTAAGGGAGAACATTCAGTCCTTTTTTCTTTTTTTTTAATTGCTGCCCCTCTAGTTTACTTATTTATTTTTTTATTTAAATGTTGTTAGTTAACATACAGGGCAATATCGTGATAAATTCAGTGATTTATCACTTACATGCAGCACCCAGTGCTCATCACAACAAATGCCCTCTGTCATCATTGAGTATGGTGTTAATTTTAGTTTAGATTTTCTTTCTTTTTTCTGAAAATGCCCTTTATATAATGGAGGAACTTTCCTTGTAGTTTTAGTCTGCAGAGGGCTTCTGTAATGAATGGGCATTGAAATGATCATATGGTTTTTCCATTTTATTTTGATAATGTGGTGAATTACACTGGTTGACTTTTGAATGTTGAACTAACCTGGAATTGCTTAGATAAAACCTGCTTGGTCATTATACGTAATAATCTTTCTGAAATTTTGCTGGGTGGTTCCACTAATACTTTATTGAGGATGGTTGCATCATGTTTATGGTCTTCAGTTCTAGGCAATTTGGGGGAATTATGTATTTGATTTCATACCTGGGTTCAGCCATTCATTAAAAATGACTTTTAAAAATATAGTTTCCCATAATTTCTAGGTAAACCTGCTGGAGGGTGCTTCTTTGAAATACCACCTTTTCTACTGCTGAGAAAATGGCTAAATAAGATTATTTTACTGTACTTCTTCCTTTTGCAGAAAAGAGCTTATTGATTTCTAGTTTATATTCTATAGTCATGATGAAAACTTAAAGGAATATAGTGTATATAGGATATTTTAAAAAATACTATAATATATTTTGTAATTACACATAATACTTACAGTTTAAAACTTCAAGTCACAGGGGCACCTGGGTGGCTCAGTGGGTTAAGCCTCTGCCTTCAGCTCAGGTCATGATCTCAGGGTCCTGGGATTGAGCCCCACATCGAGCCTTGCATCGGGCTCTCTGCTCAGCAGGGAGCCTGCTTCCCCCTCTCTCTCTGCCTGCCTCTCTGCCTACTTGTGATCCTTCTCTCTCTGTCAAATAAATAAATAAAATCTTTAAAAAACAAACAAACTTCAAGTCACAAAAATTTAGAATTTTTGGATCCTGTCCTTTGGCATTTTGTGGAAATCCACACTAACCCTCTTGCTTCATTGTGTTGAAAAAAGTGATTTATGTTTTTTTTTTTTTCTAACTTGAGTGTTGGGTGGGATGAATGAAACTGGCAGATAATCAGGTACCTTCTCCTTCTCTCTGCAGCTCACCAAAGTTGTCTGTAGCTCTTTGCTGAATGTGAGAGCAGAGCAAGATACTACCTCAGACCAAGCTGTATTAATTCTGTGTTAATGACAAAGTGGGTTGATTTTTGTCCTGGTAGAGCTTTCTCCTTGCCCTCAATTTGTGGTCTCTCCTTAATTTCTCAGGTCTTGTGTCATCGTCTGTCCTTGGCATTAAATCATGGGGAGGAAGCTGGACCTGTCTGGTCTGACCGATGATGAAACAGAGCACGTTCTCCAGGTGGTTCAGCGAGACTTCAGTCTTCGAAAAAAAGAGGAAGAACGGCTAAGGTGAGATGCTTCTATTGCCCTCCTGGGTACCATGAGACAGCTTTCCCGAGAGTGTTCCTTGCTGCTAGCCCTAAGTTTGAAGTCTTTATGTCATATACACACACTTCTGTCAGGAAGAAGGCCTTGTCCTTTATAGAAAGATTCACCAGCGCTGGGCATCGTAATGTCAGTTCAGAATGTAACTTTTCACACTCCCCATCAAGATTTTCTTTGGGCTCCTCAACCTCTACATTTTTAGCTGTAGTGAGTTTGTGAAGGACAGCGGCTGTTTTGAGCTTGCTCTTGGCTTTAAGTTTCCCGTACAAAAGAATTAGACCTGTACAATCTGTTGCTGGAAAGCACAGCTCCTGTGGTATAGGAAAAGGGCACCAAAGGACTGGGACAGGAAAAGGGCCCACTGGACCAGGCTGTGATCCGCTGGCCCAGCACCACCCTCCCTAATTTTATAGAGGAGGAAACTGAGGCCAGAAGAGGGACCCTTCTGACTCTCTAATTGGTATTTCCTTGTGGAGTGTTCTGGGAGATACCATTGCTACTCAGTTGGGTAGAAATGTCTAAATGTGGAAGAAGTCAGAGTGCCCGAAGTCAGGTTATATGTTGGGTCTAGTGTGTTGGAACTAGACGGTCAGTCATCATTAGCTGTCCTCATTCATCTGTTACCCATCAGGATTGTACGGGTTTATTGTGGTACTGTCTTCTTCCTTAGCCGCTGAGCTCAAAACCCCAGTCTTTGTGATTCCTCCCCTGATTTGGTCCCCACACAGAGCTGGGCCAGGCAATGTGGATTCTGCCTCCTCACCATCTGTCCCCGACCTTCTCTTGAGTCTAGCTTTTATCACTGTCATCCTGGGAATTGCCATAATCTTTATGACCTTCTGCCTCCACTCCTCCAAGTAGCCAGGGTTGTGCCACATCTGAGCCCCAACCATGTCCTTTCCCACTCAGCTTAAAATTGGTGTGGATTGTTTTCCTTTTCCATTAGGATACTTCAGACTTCTTTTCTTTACAGTATTGTCTCCCTTGCTAGGTTATAAGCACTATGGTATAATCATCTTTATTTTTACCACGTTTTGTTAGTCTCTTGTATTGTTTATATTCACCATGTGCTTGTTAGAGGGAAGACAAAAAAAAAAGCCCTGTTAATTAAATAATTAATCTATTTGCAGGCCATGTGGTAGGCCTTGTTGAAGCTGTTGGGTAAATAGTGAACAAAACCATTCCTTGCTCCGTGGAGTTTATATTCCAGAGCTAAGCTGATGGATACCATAGCCACCACTCATAGGTGGTGACCGAGCACTTGAAATGTGGTGAGCCTGAATTGGGATACACTTAAGTGTAACATACACACAAGATTTCATATTTAGTACCAAAAAAGGTATAATATCTTATTAATAACTTTTTATTGATTTCACTTTGAAATACTCATGTTTTGGCTATATAAGGTTAAACAAAAAAACACTATGAGTAATTTTCCCTGTTTCTTTTTATTTCCTTTAGTATGGCTACTAGAAAATTCAAAATTATGTATATGTCTCGCATTATATTTCTATTGGATGACTCTGCTCTAGAAGAAAGAGAGGCAGAGGAAATGAACAAATAAAAATGTATTTATATATGTTCAATAATGGTGAGAGGCACGAAGAAAAGTAAAGCAGGGAAGGGGGCAGAGCCCAGTGTGGGGTGGCAGGTGCTGTTTTTCCGTGGCCTGCTCAGGGAAGACCTCTCTGGGGACATTTGGGCAGAAATCTGAAAGAAATGAGGGAGGGAGCTGTGCTGCTATCTGGGGTGACATTAAGCACAGCAGAGGGAACCACAGATGTCATCTTTCTGAATCAAGGACATTCCTTGTATGTCTTCTGAGGAGCTAAGAGGGAATGAGCCAGGGAAGCATTGTACAGAATAAAGTCTTAGCAACAGCCTGAGTCCAAACCATGTAGTAAGTAGGGAATCTGTGGGGAAGCCCTGGATCTTATTGTAGGTTGAGGAATCACAGAGTTTTGAGCACAAGATGACATGACCTGACATCTGCTTTATAGGGTCACTGTGACTGCTCTGTGGGTAAGGCATCATAGAAAGGAGGGACAAGCAGCTGCGGAACTGAGAGGAGGCAGCAGTGCAGGTGAAAGGTCATGCTTTCTCAGAGTAGGTGAGGGTTAGTGGGGTGGTGAGTGGTGGTCAGATCCTGGAAACAGGTCAAAGGTAGAGCAAATGGGAGTGGCATTTTTTTACTGGGATAGGCAACGTAAGTGGGAACAGAGTCAAGGAGGACTGTGAGATTTGTGGCTTGGGCGACTAGGAAAAATGAAGTTGCCTTTCCCTGAGTGGAGAAGACAAAAAAGCGGAGGTTTGGCAGGCAGCTGGAATTGAGAGCTCTGTCTTAAGCATCTTCAACTTGAGATTGTTTTTAGACATCCAAGTCCAGATGTCAAGTTGGCATTTGTATATTTTCATCTAGAGTTCAGGTGGGAAATCCAAGCCAGACACAAAAATTTTGTAATGAAAATGGTCACCAAAGATCAAGAGTTTAGGCAGAGCTGGGGCATATAGTATAATACCAGTCAACATTAAGACTGTTTGGAATTTGTGGCCACTAATTTACATTGAGACCAATTTCAGCACCATAGTGTGTGTTTCTCCTGCATTATTCAGCTTCTCTCCTCACCAGGACCATCAACAAGAACCACATCTTCCTCAGTTCTTTTTCCCAGGCTCTGGGCTCAGGGTCTGGCCCATAGTAGACATGCTCTAAATGTCTGTGAAACAGATGGATCAGTGTAGATTGTCTGTCAGCCTGTATGGTCAGTTTTATGTGTAGCTTGAAGAACCAGTCTTAATATTTTCTAGGAATCATTAAGGCCATCTGTGTATCATGCTTCATCTCCTGGAAACTCAAATATTGGCAAGCCACGAACTTATTTAGTGTCTTCTGATTGTGGACTCTTCTCTTAGCTCCACTGGAGTCACATGCTGGTCTCTGTAGAAGAGTTGTTTTATGCTTGGTTTGGGGAGAAGTGTATGAAACACAGTGAAGTTGCCACTGCAGTAGCTTGATTAGGTGGGTGCCATTTTTCTTTGAGGTCGTGTGGTCTTAGTGGCCAGTAGTCAGCGGCTCTGCACAAATGCATGATCTTGGGAACGTGTATGTGTTGGGGAAAAATATTACTTGAAGCCATCAGTGACTAAAGAGTGACACATCACCTCTTCTGCTCTTGGGAGTGGATGGCTTTGCTCTGAAGATAGCCATCACTACTGTCTCTGTGCCCATGTCCCAGTCGACATGCCTCTATGGGTGCCTACAAACTGAATGATTTTCGTATAGGACCATACTACTGGATGAGAAGATGTTGAGACAACACCACCTCAAAACCAATGAAATCATCAAATATTTGCCTCACCTTTTCCATATTGCTTAGATTTAAAGTGCATGGGAGAGTCTAGGAAGATGTGTTCTAGCAGACATTTTTGAATTCTTTAATATTTGCTTTAATGAACATGGGACTCAGAATGGAGGATTTTTAATTTTAAAGTTTTAAATTGAATTACACATCTTTTCACCTGACCAGGTGTTTTTTGTTTACCTAGTTTCTTGGGTGAACTTTCATGAGGGTAGCTCTTGTGTGTAGAGGGTGTGCGTTGTTTCTGATGATCTTCAGTGTGGACATAGTAGCAAATACATAGGTGATCACGAAAGTGTGAATCAAATGTCCTCAGAACATAGACGTGGTAGTGGGGCTGAAGAACTCAGCACATTTAGGTCATTGAAATGAATTTACGAAAAGAGAACTAAAAGGTGTAAAGCAGTCACTGTGAACTGGCAGTGCCCCTGGGTACTCTGTACATTCTTCTGTTGTCTCCTCTCAGGAGTTCCTAGAAGGTGGATCTCCATGTTACATGGAAGTACCCAAGCACAGAGAGGTTGAAAGGCTTGCTCAGAGTAGCATGGTTCATTGTGGGTAGAGCCAGGATTTTGTTTCCCAAATTCTCTGTTACATAGACTACATTAAACCTTTTCAAAACTACCTGCCTCCTTTCCTTCCCCCCTCCTCCTTTCCCTCCTTCCATCCCTCCTTTATTCTCTCCTTCCTTTCCATCTATTACCCTATCCCCTCCCTCCCCCTTCCCATGCTTTCCCTTTCCTTCCCTTTCTTTTTTCTTTTATTGTGTTAGGACTTTGTTTAACCAAGAGATAGCACGAGATGGTGAAGAGAGCCTGGTTTTAGAGTTTGGAAATGTGAGTTTGCCTCTTCACATGAACCCCAATTTTTGGAAACACACTTAATCCTTCAATATAACCTGCTCCTCTGTAAAATGGGACTAAGGACACCTGCTCTATCTATTCTTTTATGTTGTTGTAAATACTGAAATAAGTAATGCATTTAAAAGTGTTTTATGGGCTCCTGGGTGCCTCAGTGGGTTAAACCTCTGCCTTCAGCTCAGGTCATGATCTCAGGGTCCTGGGATTGAGCCCCATACCAGGCTCTCTGCTCAGCAGGGAGCTTGCTTCCCATTCTCTCTCTGCCTGTCTGTCTACTCGTGGTCTCTCTCTGTCAAATAAATAAATAAAATCTTTAATAAATAAATAAGTAAATAAAAGTGCTTTATGAGTTGTTAGAGATAGATGGGAGCACCTGACATAGATAGGAGGAAAGTGATGGCAGGTTGTGAAAGCACCATGATTTGGGGTTGCCTTCCAGGATGGAGAGCTAGGACAGCATCCTCATGAATTGGAGCAATGCACAGGTAGGATGGACAGTCTGCACCTTCAGCCACGATCTCTTTCCTGAGTTCAGGCCTGTAGAGTGTGCCGTGGAGAATGGGAGCACAGCCTTGCAGGTGGCTCTCTCAGGACATCCCACAGGTACCTCAGTCTACTGTGTCCAAACAGTGCTGTCTCCCAAGGGAAGGGATGGGGAGTCACAGACACTGGCCTGACTTTGCAGACCAGTTGGCTCACTGGCCTTCAGCAGAAAGAGTCCCAGGCTCCTGCAGGGCTTTTGGCA